CCCCAAAACCCCAAAACCCCAAAACCCCATTTTTAATCCAACAAATTGAGGCTTAAATATACAATAATTCTTTTTAATGAAATTAGTTTTGCAAAAGCGAAGTCATCGGGTTTAAGGATAGTTCCACAGTAACCTTTTTACTTGGAATTGAGATTTTACCAAGGATCAGAGGATGGTATGGCGAAAAATCCATCCTAGGCTCTTCTCCGTCTTCAGACTTTTCTGACTCATTACGCTCAAAAGTATCTTTACATGAATGAGTCACAGCCATGCTATCGATGCTGATTTTTCCAAAGGAGTAGTAAGAGCGGTAAATATCAGCAAGCATATTTTTGTGGCGCTGCGAAAGCTTAGGCATGTTTGGAGGAGGAGAAGTGATAGAAAGTAGCATTTGGTCTATTTTAGCTTTTGTTGAGCTGTCAAAGTCAATCTTTAGACTCAATTTTGCGCTTTGATGTTCTGGAGCTATAACCAGGGATATTTTTAAGTGCTTGAGAGTAAGAAGCTGCTTGATTAAAGTTTGTTCTGGAATAGTTTCAAATTTCACAGAGATTGGTTTGTATTCCAAAAAATCATTGATACTAAGGTTAAGAAGATGCATCATATCAACAACATAATTTTTATGGTCTAAATCTCTTTCTCTTCAATTCTTCCTCAAAAGTATCAAATCAGGTATATGCTCAAACTTCTCTGCTCCTAATAGCTTGTCGAATTCTTCCTCTAAATTTCCTCTATCAAGCTGATATCCAAAAATTCTTTCAGAAATGTTCAAAAAGTCATATCTGTATTTTAGTCTCACTTTTTTTGCTTGGTCATTTAGTGTTCTCTCAAATGCTTTAACATAATCCTCTTTAACAGACTCTGTAAACTCCTCACCTTCATAGACTTCAAGCAACTTCTCATTCATAATCTGATGGAACCTCATCGAAGACTTGATCGAGTTTATAATAGACTCAAACAGAGATTTGGCACCCTTAGTCTCATGCGCTTTATGCTCTTCTTTACAATCTTCTCAAAATACAATTTCTCACTCATTTCAGTATTTGTCTGGCTTCTTCCCCCCAATTTTGCATCCAGATGATCTCTTCTTGCCAGTCATGCCCTCGAATAGATCAAGAAGCTTTGTGTTATGTCTTAGATTACCTCTAGCCAGTGGCTTTCTACAATTCGGACATGTATCCCTCTCTTTCAGGCTCCTAATAATACAATTGAAGCACCAAGTTCTTGATCAGCAGGTTGCCATAATCGAAAGATTTGGGTCCATTATTTCATAACAAATCTGACAGTCAAACTTCTCTAATTTTTCTAACTCGGTAGTAGATAGTGTGTTTTTCAATCCTTCTAATGTTTTCTGGTCCTCGGTCTTCTCATTAGAATTCGTAGCTTCTTCGCTCTCTGTTGGTATAGGGATGGATCATAAAGATGTCTTGCCAATCTCTCACTCTTCATTTTCAGGGCATATTCCAAGTTCAGTTGCAAAATTCTTCAAAAATTGTCAATGCTTTCAGAAGGCCCAAATCGGAAATCCCTGAGGCACATTTTCACTCATCTCCAACCCAAAGTGCTCTAAATAACGTTCCATTTCAAAATCTTCAATGCCCTCAAAATCATCCACATCAGTCTCCGAACTGAAGTAAAAATCATTATCCAAAGAGCTATCCGAGTCTTCTGACATTACCAATTCCACCAAATTTCCCCTTTAACACCCCTTTCCCAATTATTAAAACCCCACCAAATCCAATCCCCTTCCCGCCCTTAGGGGTTTTGGGGTTTTGGGGTTTTGGGG